TTAATCTACTATCGGTAGATAAAATATTTTAATACGTAAAGAGATAGACTATAATTATAGTAAGGTTCGGAAACCTTATAGCTCTATTTCTATACTTTATTAAACTTATTAACCGAAATAGTAATTAAGTAAGGGTAATTAATCCATTACGAGAAAGATACCCTTAGCCTTATACTTATAGATAGCTAAATTCGGCTACGATTATATTTAAAGAAGATATAAGTAGCTTAGGAATTACTATTAAAGTCTCGTTAGTTAGAGCTCGTTTAAACGATAATAATAGCTCCGTTTTCGTGATAGAACCCTTAAAGGTAAGCTATAAGGGCTTTATATATATTAAATAATTATAATTTTAAGGAGGTAAGGATCGTTTAAGTAATATAGTTATCGCTACTACTTTCGTTATTACCTTTATTATTACCCTCATTATCTTAATAGTAAAAGTCTTATAGATCTTAAGCTAGTTAAAAGCTACTATTAAACGTAATATAAAAGCTATCTAAAGTAGACGTCGAAATAGAAGCTAGGGATATAAATAGAGAACTCTTATTTACTTAAGTATATATCTCTATTTACCTATACTACGTTATAGCGTTAAGGCAAGCTAAGCTATTAGCTATAAGCTAAGCTATTAGCCCTAACCTAACTATATATAGCTATGCCCTTAACTATATATAGCTATACCCTTAACTATATATAGCCCGTCTATAGATCGAGTTATTAACGCCTTTATATAAAGCCGACGGCAATATTTAAGATAAAGAGAAAGTAATAATAATTAATATATTTAAAATTAATATATAAGTATATTAAAAACAGTAAAATAAAATAAAAAAGAGAATATAAGCTTATATACCCCTTAATAACTTAAATTAACGGCGTTAATATAGTCCCTTTATCTATACCTTTTATTTAACCTAAGATAACTAACGATATTAAAGAGATACTATAAGGTAATCTTATAAATATTAATATTTATTAATATTTAATAATTAATATAATTATATTTAAATATAATCTAAATTAATTAAGGTTCTTAGCTATCTTTAAGGTTATACTTTATATAACTTATTTAAATTATAATATTAGCCTTATTATTATAATAAAAGCTTTATAGGCTATTAAGGTATTCTTAATATAAATAAAAAGTTAATAAAGGTAATAAAAGTAAGATCTTGTAAGTAATATAATTATCTTTATATTAAAGGTTAGACCTTAAGATTTAAGCCTAAGCTTAGCTTAAGCTACTTATTAAGTTATATAGCGCTATAAAGTAGAAAGGGGCGCTATATAAAAAAAGAGGTATTATAAATATAAAAGTAATTAATCTATATAAACCTATTTTACCTCTTTATAATATATTTAATATTAATAAGCTAATTAACTCTTATTTATTAAAGCTAGCTTTATTATAATATATATTATTAATTAATAAAATAATATAAAGAAATAATAAATAAGATAATATTAAATATATTAGCCCCTTAATTTATACTTATAGCTTAATCAATAAGAATAGCTAAATAAATAATAATAAGGTAATAAATAATAATAAAGTAATAAATAATAATAAAGTAATAAATAATAATAAAGTAATAAATAATAATAAAGTAATAATTTATTACCTTAAATATAAAATAAGTATATCTCTTTAATATATTTAATATAATTATATTTAATAATTATATAAAAGAGGCTTTATTAAAGACCTTAAAGGGATTAGCTATAATTATAATTAAAAGGATTATAACCTTAATATTAATTATTATATTAATTATAATAAATAAATTAAAATTAAAAAAAGAAATTATTAATTTAATTAAAGTAAAATAGCTAAGTTATTCTTTTTATTTATATTTAAAGTAATTATAATTTAAATATATTATTAATAAAGTAAAAGACTTATATAAACTAAATATTATAATTTAATTTAAAGTTTTATATAAGTAATCCTATTTTTACATACGCATTTCTCTATTTTTATATATCTCCGCTATAAAGGCCCCCTATAGCCACTAAGAACCCCTATCATAGCAGGCGCCGCGCGGGGCTATAGTGCCATTTTTATTACTTGCGCACGCTATCGGGCTATAGGCTATAAGGCTACACGGGCTACAGCAAGCAATTAAAGGCATCGCGGGCTATACGGGCTACTATAGGCAATTAAAGGCATCGAGGGCTACTAGGCTATACCGCTACTATAATAATTAAAGGCATCGCGGGCTGCCGGGCTACTATAGTAATTAAAGGCATCGCGGGCTGCCGGGCTATAGTAGATAATTAAGGTTATCGCGGGCTATAGCGGGCAATTAAATGCATCGCGGCTACGGGCTATAGCGGGTAGTTAAAGGCATCGCGGCTACGGGCTACTGCATTAATTAAAGGCATCGCGGGCTATATAGGCTATACGGGCTATAGCGTAATTAAGGCTATCGCGGGCTACGGGCTACGGGCTACGAGCCTAATAGTATAATACTATAGCCCGGTCTTAGCTATATAATGTATATGAAAATAGAGAAATGTATATATGAAAATAGGACTACTCTTTTATATACCCTTTTAAAGCTTAAGATATAAAGTATAAAGGTATTTTAGAGAAAAAAGGGGATTAATAATTAAAGAGACCTTAAGGGTTTCTTTTTATACTTTAAGTAAATCTTTAAAAATATTTAAAAGAAAGAAAAAGTATAAAATAAATTATAGACCTTTATATAAAAAGATAATTAAAGATTTAAGAATTTTATCTTAGACTTTAAGAATACCTTTATAATTATAAATAGCTTTTCTTAAAATAATATTATAAAGTATATTTAATTATAAAACTCTTTCTTTTTTATATTTAAAGAATAGCTTATTATAGTTATATTAAAACTTAACTTTTATAACTTTATTAAATAATTATATATTATTATAGCTAACTTTAAAGTAATTATTTAAATTAAAGAACTTTAAAAAAATATTAATATTTAATTTAATAAGTTATTTTCTATAAAATAAAGAAATTAAAGATTAAAAGTAAAAAATAAGCTTTATAAATAATATTTATTATAGATTATAAAAAAAATAATTTTTATAAATTTTATTTATATTATTAATTACAGCTTTAAATTAAAGAAAATAAAAAATTTAAAGAATATTATGTTAATATAAATAAATAAATTAAATAAATATTTAATAAAGAAAAGAATAAATAATATAAATAAAGGTATTATTTATATTATAAAAAAAATTAATTTATAATTATTTTTATATTTTTATTTATTAATTAAAGAAAAATAAAGTAATTTTAATAAATTATATATAATTTAAATTAAAACTTAAAGATACTTATAATATAAAGAGTAAATTTAAATATATAGAATTTACTTTAAGAAATATATTACTTTAAAGTTATACTTTAAGGGTATAAAAATTATTAATATAAAAAGAAAGGCTATAAAAATACTTTAAAATAAATTTATTATTAATCTTTATCTTAATTAATAAAGATCTTTTATAGACTATATTTATAAATAAAAGATATTAATATTATATAATAATAAAGAAATTATTTAAAACTTTAAATTATTATTAATAAAAAATATTTTTATAAAATAAAAAAAGTCTTAAATATTATAATAAAAATAATAATTAAAAATTTAGCTTAATTAAATATAGAGATTAATAAAGTTTTTTAATTAATATATATTTATATAATATTTAAGCTTAAATTCTTTTTAATCTTAAAAAAGCCTTAACTTTAATATATAAAATTATATTTTATTTTATACAAAAAGAAGCTATAATATAGCCTTTTATAAATATAAATATAATATATATATAGCTTATATTTAAAATATAGCTTTATAAATAATATTAAAAATATATAATATATTATTATTATAACTTTTATAAGCTATATTAAAAAGATCTATAAAAGAGAGAGCTATAATATAGCTAAAGTTATAATCTTTATTATTAAATTAAAAAATATTAAAAGAGCTTTAACCTTAAAATACCTTAAATCTAAATAAGAGCTTTTATATATAATCCTTTTATATTTTTATAATTTACTTTTATTCTTTATAAAATATATAATAAATAAACTTAATTTATATAAACTTAATATTAATTATTAAATCCTCTTTAAAAAAGCTTAAGAAATAAAACTTATTTATATTATATAAAGCTTTATATAAAATATTATAAAAAAGCTTTTAATATTATAGAGGATATTTAATAACCCCTTAAATAAAGAGTCTATTTAAGTAAATAACTTAAAAATAATAATATTAATTTTATTATATAAAAACTAAAAAATAAGCTTTATTTTTATTATAATTATAAAGCCTTTAATATAATTATAAAAATAAATTATTATTTAATTTTATTTATTAATAATATTTTTTATAATTTAAATAAAGCTTTTATTAAGTTAAATATAATATAAATATTTTATAAAATAAAATTATATTTAAAGAAAAATAAGAAATAATATTTTATATTAAGTATAAGCTTTTTAAATAAATAATTATATTATTTAAGAATAGTCTTATTTTTATAGAGAGCTATTACTTTAATATATATATTTTACTATTTACTTATTTAGCTCTATATATTAAGATAGGCTAAGGTAGGCTAAATAGGCTAAGCTAAGCTAGATAGCTAGGCTATTAGACGAATAGCTATATATTATTAAATGGCGTTATAGAGAGGCTATATTATTATACCTTAAGAATAGGGGCATACTTAAATCTAGTTAAATAATATATAATACTATAAACTTAAGTTTCGCGATATATTAATATATCTAAATAATTTATACGCTATAGTTTAGTCTATATTATATAATAATAGTTCCTTATAATTAGTTATAATAAGAACTTTATACTTTAAAGAAATAAATACCCTTATTATTAAATATATAAACTCTTTAAAATAGAAATAAAAGACCGGAAGTTTATTAAGTAATAAGTTTAATAAGTAATATTTAATAAGTAAAAAATTAATATTTAATAAGATTAATTCTAATTATTTTAATATATCTCTTAATACTTTTTAGATAGATTATAATATCCTAGTTATTAACTTTATTAAAGATAACTTATCTTCTTTATCTAACTTTAATATAATTATAGGCTTAAGCTTAATTATTAACTATAAAGTAGGCTTAACCTTAAGGGATTATATTATCTTAGTTATTAACTTTAGAGATAACTCTATATTATTATCTTCTCTCTTTAACTTTAATATAGAGATAGGCTTAAGCTTAACTATATAGTCTAAATATAGACTTAGCCTTTAAGTAACTTTAAGCGATTATAATATTTTAATTATCGACTTAATTAAAGATAATATTATCTCTATATCTTTTACCTTATTTAATATTAATAATAACTAGGCTATATTATCTAAGCTAACCGCTATTATTAATAGTTTACTTAATAGGGCTAGCGCCTAGATTTCTTTACCTTCTTAAACCTCCTTAATTATCTATAATCGCTAGTAAGCTTTCTTAGTTTATATAAAATATCTAATATATAGCTATATAGGCTATATAATTTATCCAGTATATACCGATTTTTATATATACCGGGTAAATATTTATCTAGAAACTTTATTATAGTAAATAGTCTATTAGACTAGCGGGTAGTCTATTATACCGCTAGATAATTTATTAAACTGATTTTTATTATTTTCGGCTAGACTTAGGGTCTTTAGTCTAGTATAAAGTTAAGCTACGCTATATAGAGCTATATTTAGCTATATTTAGCTATAGCTACGCTAAATTAAGCTAAATATAGCTGAATTTAGCTATAGCTATACTAAATTAGGCAAAATATAGCTGAGTTTAGCTATAGCTATACTAAATTAAGCTAAATATAGCTAAATTTAGCTATAGCTACGCTAAATAAAGCTATATTTAGCTCTTTTTAGCTATAGAGGCTAGTATTAAACTAATATAGAGACTATTAAACTAAAGGCTAGGTCTATTTAATTATATATATAACCTTCCCCTCTTAGTCTAGAGAGGATAGAAGATTAAGTAATTTAATACCTCTATTATCTCTTCTATCTTATTTTACTATTACCTTTCTTATCTTTTATATCTTTATTTCCTTATTTTCCCTATTTTTTACTGCCTTTATCCCTCCTTCTTATAGTATTATATAGAATATTATAAAAAGAGCTCTTAATATTATAAAGATACTTAATAACCTATTAAATAAAGGGTTTATTTAATTAAGTAACTTAAAAGTAATAATATTAGTCTTATTTATATAGAAACTAAGAGATAAGCTTTATTTTTACGATAATTATAAAGCCTTTAATATAATTATAAAGGTATACTATTATTTAATTTTATTTATTAATAATACCTTTTATAACTTAATAAAGGCTTATTAATTTATTAAGCTAGATATAATATAGGTATTCTATAAAGTATAGATTATACTTAAAGAAAAGTAAAAAATAATATTCTATATTAAATATAAGCTCTTTAAATAAATAATTATATTATTTAGTTTAAATAATATATTTATTACTGTTTAATACTATATTAATAATATCTTATAAAAGTTCTTTAATAACTTTTACTTTATTTATATAAATAATATATTAATCTATATAAATAAATTACTTAAAGAATATTATATAAAAGTATAATAAGTCTTAAAGTAACTTTAAGAATATAGCCTTTATTTAAACTTAAATAAGTATAAATTTAAGGTTAAGACTATAAAATATCTTAAGTTTATTATTTATATAAAATATAATATTAAAATAAATCTTATTAAAATAAAGATAATAATTAAATAGCTTATTTTAATAATATAAAAAAAAATATAAAGCTTTTTAAGGTTTATTAATTATTATTAAATATTTATATTTAATTTCTTAAAGATAATTACTTTTTTAATATCTTTAATAAAAAAAGGCTTTATTTATATATATAAAAATAAAAGTATTAATCTCCTTTTTAAGTATTTAAGTAATTACTTATTTAAGTATTAATCTTAAGTTAATAAGATCTAGACTTACTTACTTTCTTAGAAATAAATTATAATAATACTATATTTAATAATATATTTATATAAAAAATTAATAAAAAAAAGAAATTAATTACCTTTTACTTATAAAAGCTTTTATCTATAAAGTAAAACTACTTTATTTATAATAAAGAGATATTAATAATAGTTTATTACTTAAAGTAATAAAATATAAAGCTTTATAGCTATATAAGCTTTATAATCTTTATAGACTATAAGAAACTTAAATATTTTATAATATAATAATAATTATTAAAGTAATAAATATATTAAATAAAGCTATTTTAATATTTTAATTTCTCTTTAATCTATAAATTAAAGAAGCTAATAATAATCTTTAATATATTATTAAAAAAGGATTAAGATTAAGAGATAAAAGAAGACTAAAAAGCTTAAGATTTATAATATTCTTTAAAGGGCGCTTTCTATATTTATATATAAAGGATATAATTAAAAATAAATAGCTTAAAAGGTATATTAATAGACTTTAAGCTTTATTTTTTATAAAAGTAAGAAGCTTAATAAGATATTATTTATTAAAGTATATATTATTTAATAAAGAGTAATATTTATATATTAAACTTAAAGCTTAAGCTAAAGGTATAAATAATAAAGTATAATATAGATATTAAGAAATACTTTTTTTCTAAGATTATTTTTAAATATTTAAGGCTATTTTTATTTTAGAGGCTAAAGTAAAAGCTACTTTTATAGAAATAAAGGGACTTAATAAGCTATAAAGGAAGCTTATTTAATAAGCTTATAACTTACCTATAATTAAATATTTAAGTAAAGAAAGTATTATAGCTTTAATAATAAAAAAGTTTTATTAGCCTTTTTTATAATAATATATTAAAAGGTTCTTTTATAACTATAATATTTATAGCTATATTAAGATTTAATAAGAATATAAAAAGGGGTTATTTAAGCCTTTATTTATATTAAAGTAATTTTATTATTAAATATAAATAGATTTTATTATAAACCTCCTTTTAATATATAAAAGTTACTTCTTTTAAGTTATAAAAAATAAGCTAAATAAAGAAATAATCTTTAAATTTATATTATTTATAAATATAGAGGCTTATATAAAGCGCTTTTTATAATATTATATCTATTTTTATAGATAGTTAATAATAATAATAAATAATAAAGGCTTTAATTAAATAAATAAATTTTAATAATATTTATATAAGTTAATTAATAGAAAATAATAGCTTAATATAATATATTACTTTTAAATAAATAAAGGTATAAAGAGAGTTAACTAAAAGGTATAAATATACTTTAAGGTATATATTAATTATAATTAAGATAATTAAGATTAATAGCTCTTTATAGCTTAACTTACGCTAAATTTAAGGACCTTTACTTTTATTAAGATATCCCTTTTTTTACTTTATATAGTTTTTATTTATAGTTAATATTATTTAACCTTTACCCCTTTATAAATAAAGGATAATAATAAAATAACCTTAAAGTAAAAAGTAAAGGTATTTATAGTAAGGATTAAATAAATTTATAATAGTCGGCTAGACCTAGAGCCTTAATAGCTACGTAATACGTATATAACGGCCGGCCCGCCGGGGTATACCTCCGGCGGGTCGCCGGCGAAACGCTATATAGACCTTTAAGCTTTAGTCTCTAACTTATAGTAATAATAATAACAGCCGCCGGACTATATAGCTATTGCCTCTCTTGCCTGACTGACTATAAGACCTATTATTATTATAAAATTATAGACCTCTATAAATCCTTTATAGCTATAGCTATATAAAAATAAGAGTAATATACTAATTATATATATAAGCTTATAAATAAGTATAAAGTTAAGGATAGAGTCTAATTAGACTTATAGAACTACCTTTTAATAAGACTTAAAAAGAAGCTTAACTAGCTTTACTTAAAATATACTATAAGTAAGGTCTTAAGCTTATATATAATAAAGCTCTCTAAGCTATTTATAGGTATCTATAACTAGTTTTATATAAACTAGCTTTATTAAGCCTTAAGGGACCTTATTTTAGGTTAGTAAACTATTAATTAATAACTTACTCTTATAGAGATAAGAAAAGAGGAATATTACTTAATTAAATAAGTCTTAAGTATATAAAAGTATAAGTAAAAGTAAATAAGGAAGTTATAAGCCTTTATTAAGTAATAAAGTTACTTTAACCTTATATAAAAGCTACTTAAAGAAATATAATATATTATAGCCTTTAAGCTTTTTTAATAATAAATAGCCTAGCTATATACCTCTATAAAGGCTATAATAATTATAATAAAGTCTTAGTTTATATAAAATAATTAATATATAACTATATAGACTATATAGAAGGATATAAAAAATATTTTCCTATATAATATATATAAATATACTATATAATATATTATATAACTATATATATATATATTATATAGCTATTTATTTAAAAAAACATTACTTTTAGGTATAATAAAAAGATCTATAAGAGCCTCTTATATTACTAAAATATAATATATAGTTAATATATAGCTATATAAGCTATATAGAAATAGATTAAAAATATATTACTATAAAGTCTATATAGATAAATATTTATTTAATATATACCGATTTTTATATATATTAAGTAAATATTTATCTAGAAACTTTATTATAGCGGATAGTCTATTAAACCGGCGGGCAGTCTATTATACCGCTAGATAGTCTATTAAACCGATTTTTACTGTTTTTAGCTAGACTTAAGGTCTTTAGTCTAATATAAGGTTAGCTACGCTATATAGAGCTATATTTAGCTATATTTAGCTATAGCTATACTAAATTAAGCTAAATATAGCTACGCTAAATAGAGCTGAATTTAGCTATAGCTATACTAAATAGAGCTAAATTTAGCTCTTCTTAGCTATAAAGGCTAGTATTAAATTAATAGAGAGATTATTAAATTAAAGGCTAGGTCTTTTTAATTATATATAAGACCTTTCCCTCTTAGTCTAGAGAGGATAGAAGATTAAGTAATTTAATACCTCTATTATCTCTTCTATCTTATTTTACTATTACCCTTTTTATCTCTTATATCCCTATTTCCCTCTTCTCTCTATCTTTTACTGCCTTTATCCCTCCTTCTTATATAAGGCATAGGTATATATAAAGGCTTTATTAAAAAATATAATTATTTATTTTTATAGCCCCTTTTTTAATATAAAAAAGGGCTACTCTTAAAAGAGTATTTATCTTATTATCTTATTATCTTTATCTTTTTTTTCTTTTTCTTTTTCCTTTTCTTTTACTTTATAAGAGGTAATAGCTTCTTTTATTATTATAAGGTAGGTAATAAAGTCTTATACCTTAATAATAAGGTTAATAATAATATTAATAGCTATAATAAAGGGGGGTAAAAGTAATAAATAAAAGGAAAGGGATATTATTAAAGGTAACTATAATAATATTCTTATTTAAAGGTTAGTATTTATATATATAGTAATATAAAGGGTAAAGGTTACTTACTTAAGTATAAAGCTTACTCTCTTTAAAGTTAAAAGATATTACTTTATTATATAAATAATATTTAATACCTTTTTAGCCTTTTTCTCTACTTTATTAATAATAATAATTACTTTTTTATTAATAATAATATAAATAATAATAATAATAATAATAATAATAGCCTTTTAAATATATTATATAATACTTATAGCTTAAATTATAGCTTTTTATATATAGTTAATAATATAATAGCTATAATAACTATTAATCGCTTACTTTATATAACTTATATAAATAAGCTTTATATATATAATATATATATATATAGCTAAGAATAGAGCTCTTTTATAAAGTTATCTTTTTAAAATTACTTTTATATATTATATTAAAAGAGCCTATATATATAAAGGAAATATTAACTTAAAAGAAAGGATTTATAAATAAAGTTAATAATAATAATAATAAATAAGAATAATACTTACCTTAAGGGGCTATATAAATAAGAGTAATAATAAAGAGAGAGTAATAATAAAGAAAGAGGGTAGTTAAAGGGGTAAATAAAAGAGAGAAAAAGGGTAAGTAAGTATAAGCTTAATAAAGGTAAGGGAGAGGTAATAAAGGTAAGCGAGCCTAAAGGTATATATAAAGGTATAAAAGAGCTAGAATAAATATAAGAAGGCATAAAAAAGCTTAAAGGGGTATAAAAGATTAAAAGGGTAAAAGAGCTACTTAAATATAATAATAGTATTATAAATAATATAAAAGTATCTATTTTATAAGTTAATAGCTATTATTATAGCCCTATAATATAAGATAAAGTAAGGGATAAAAGATATACTTTATTATTATTATTATTATTATTATTATTATTATTATTATTATTATTATTATTATTATTATTATTATTATTATTATTATTATTATTATTATTATTATNTATTATTATTATTATTATTATTATTATTATTATTATTATTATTATTATTATTATTATTATTATTATTATTATTATTATTATTATAGTAATAATAAGGCTATAATAATAGCGATAATAATATAAAAGTAATCATATAAAAGGAAGAAAGGGACCTCTTTTTAATATAAAAGAAAGCCTCTTTTATATAAATATATTAAATTAGCTATTAATTATATAAATTATAAATATATAAGCTAAATAGTTATTATATAGCTCTCTTATTTAATAAAGGGTAATAACCTATAAATTAGCTCTTAATTAAGCGGCTATTAATAGCTATATATAGCTTAGTTAATATAAATAATAATAATTATACCTTATTTTAGGTATTAAGAGCGCCTTACTTATAGTTCTACTTAAATCTATACTATTCTATAAGGGCTATGCGTTTATATAAGCGAGGCTCCTTCTAGCTATATATAAGAGAGAGGAAAGGGGTAATATTAAGGGTTAGTCCTTAAGGTTTAAGCCTAGGCCTAGCCTAGGCTACCCGCTAGGTTATATAATGCTATAGGGTAGAAAGGGGCGCTATATAAGGAAAAGGGGTACTATAAGTATAAGGGTAGCTAGCTTATATAACCCTATTTTACTTCTTTATAGTATATTTAATATTAATAAGCCGACTAGCTCTTACTTATTAAAGCCGGCCTTATTATATAAAAGGTATAAATATAAGAGGTATAATAAAAGTAATTATAAATACTTTAAATTAAAGCCTAAGAGTTATAATAATATAATAAATTAATACTTTAATTATCTTAATTTTAATATATTATCGCTAGTATAAAGGCTAATAAATAATATAAGTAATAATATAGGTAATAATATAAGTAATAATATAAGTAATAATATAAGTAATAATATAAGTAATAATATAAGTAATAATATAAGTAATAATATAAAGAAAGGTATAAATAAAAGTATAAATAAGAAAGTATATATAATATATAAAAAGATAAGATTAAAGTAAAATAATATAAATTTAATACTATAATATTATTATATAATAATAGAAATATAACTTTAGCTTATTTATATATTAATTAATTATATTATAATAATATAATTTAATTAATTATACTTTTATAATATAATTTAATAATATTATTATTTATATAAAAATATAACTTAATTAAAATATTAAAATATATTATTATATATTATTATTATTTTATATTTATAAATTAAAAATAGCTAGTATAAAATAAAAATAAAATATAGCCTTAGAAAAATATAGAATATTTATATAATTAGACTTTTTTATTTATATAAATAAGAGTAATACTATTTATAAAGGATAAAAACCCTCGCTATATAAATATTCTATATCTTTCTAGGTATATACCTTACCTTTATGCCGCGCTAGCTATTTTTAGTATATAAATATAAGATAGTAATAGCGCGCTAGAATATACCCTGAAATCTTAATTAAATCGTATTTTTATAACGTAGCTACCGCGCCGCGAGGCTAGTAAGGTATTAATAGGGCTTAATTCGCTTAAAAAACGCATTTCTATAGTTTCCCTTTAATATTATTATATTTAGATATATATTATTCCGTTCTAGATTACTCCGCTAGGCCGGCGGCGCCCGTAACGATACCCTTATTACTACCGACTATATCTACCGTACCTAACCTCGTCTGCCCCGGCCGCGGCGCTAGTAGGGCCTAAATCGCCTAAAGAATGCGTTTCCGTAGTTTCCTTATAATATTATAATATCGGGGGTATATTTTTCCGCTCCGAGGTCCGTATATTAAGTCTCTTAACCGTACCGGGCCCTAGGCGTAACTGCGGTTATAGCTACGTAGCCAGTCGTCTTATGAGGCCGAGGCAGACGTAGCCTATAATGCTATTAACGTAGCTAGTAACGCTATTAAAGCTATTCGTAATGTTATAGACCGGGCTCGAGTAGAGGCGCTGTCGCGGAGAGGCGTTAGCCGCGATATATTGCGTTACGTAGGTATCTATTATATCGTGCTAAAATAGTAGCTATATAACTAGGCGCTTACGCTAACCTATACCTACGTACCTTATTTATCTATAGCGGACTAGCTAGCATACGATTAGTTAGAAAAAAATATAGACTTAAGGCATTTATATAGCGAGGGTTTTTATCCTTTACGAATAGCATTACTTATAAATAATATTACTTATAATAATATACTTTAAAGTTAATTTATTTTAATTAATTAAATTTATTATAATTAAGTTTAATTATTAATTAAAGTTAATAATATTATTATTATAATAATATAAATAAAAAATAAATTAAATATTAATAATATAATAAAATAAAAATTAATAAAATTATTATATATAAAAGTAATAAAAGTTAATTTATTTTATAATAAAGCTATTTATAAATAAGTTTTTATATTACTTATTTATTTATAAATATAAATTTATAATTTAAAAATAAATAAAAAATACTTTAATATTTATATTATTTATAAATAAACTCTAAACTTAATTAAATATTAATATATAATAAATAGCGCTATATTATATATAGCTTTTTAATAATTTAAATATAATTTAATTAAGCTTAAATAAATAAATAATAAAAAATATATTAATATATTTATTTATTATAAATAAATATACTTTATATTTAAATTATTTAATATTTTATATTTAATTTTTAATTAATTTTATAACTTTTTTTTTATTAAATTATCTTTATTATTTTTTAATTATTCTTTTAATTCCTTTATAATATTAATAATATAACTAACCTTTATTTTTTTTATATTTTAATCTTTACTTTATTATTTTTATAAGAGTTTTTTATCTTCTTAAAGTTTTTTAATAAATTCCTTATTTTTATACTTAAATAATCTCTTTAAGCTTATTTAATATAAATAATAATAATAATATATTATTATTATCATCTTATTATTATATATTAAAAGTAGTTAATATAATAAAAAAGTAAAGTATAAAAATATAAAATATTTATATAAATAAGTCTCTTTATTTAAATAAATAATACTATTATTTTAAAATGCCCTTTTATATCTTTATATCTTTATATATTAATTTAGTTAAAATAGATTATATTACGATAATACTTAATTAATATCCGGGCCCCAGTCTATTTGCTCGGTTTGGTTTCCCTTTCCTTCCATGACTGCTTCTAACTTATCTTCGACTGTAACCCAACCCTGCCGCTTCTGGGAGATGGCGTATCGGATAGGATCCCTCCATTCCCGCCACCAAACTTCCTCGCTCTGCACGATGCACCTCCTGCCTGGCTCCCCATTCTTAGTGGTTGCAAACGGCCAGACGGCTCGTACGACCTCGTATTTATTCTTGCCAGAGAAAAGGCTGGCGACAGTTGTGAAGAACTGGTTGACCTTGTCCGGGTTCTGGATCAAAACACGACTGTGAGTGACGAGAAAGGTTACATCAACAGTGCCCTTATACTTGAGCGTAGCCACGAGGCTCCGTAGTTGGCCCTCGAGCCAGGCGACGTCGAGGTTGGCGACAACTCGGTCAAGGGCGAAGTACTTGACGGCGGCTGTATCCTGGGCGAAGCGACGACACCACTCATCGAGGCCGCCATCGCCGACCTCGGGCAGGACATCGGGACGCACACCTCCCCGATAACCAACCTCGCCGTCACCCACACAGCGGATGTAGTCGATGCGGTGCCGTTCGTCGTCTGGGACGAGGAGGCTCATGAGATTAAGCTTGATGTCGAAATCGACACGACGGCCACGGGTGCCGCGGACTTGGATCTGGGGCTTCGGGGGAACTGTTGACTGGGCTCGGATGAGGGCGGCCAGAGCAGCCGGGTTAGTCGAAAGGTATTCGGCCTTGGACGACAGGGTGGTTGAGTCGGAGGATAATTTGAAGAGCGGTGGGGAGTACAGCTTGTAGTCGAGCCTAGGCAAGCCCGGGTACCGCACAGGACCCTTGGGAGTGTCGGGCTGCTCTTCGCGGCGATGCAGGTCACCCGTCGACGGGCCGGAGTACGGTGGAGGCGTCGAGACGGGCGCCGGATCCGGGGCCGGAGGCGGGGGCCCAGGCTCGTTTGGCGGAGGGTTTCCGGCCGGGCTACCCTTCTCCATGGCGCGCGATGTCGTGGCCGTGAGGTGATGGGCAGGTTGAGGAAGCACCGTCCGGGCGGCGGTCGAGGGCGCGGATCCACGGTGGCAGTGGCAGATGGACAGAGAGCCGGGCACAAGCTCGCGAGCGGCTGTGCTGGTGTCGGCCGCTGGGACGACGACCTGGCGGGCGGATGTCGAGAGACAGCAGACGCACGCAGCGGCGCAAGGCGGACTACCGCGGGAAGACGGCGACGTCGAGATGGCGGGCCGTGCGCCTCACGTCACGGTATGTGTAGAGACATCCGAGGATGTCGGAGGGAGCCCGTAGCGCCCGAGCCGGCGTCCAGGATGAAGCGCGTGTGGTTCCAGTCTGACTGGAGGAGTCGTGCAGGCAGGGGGAGGGGGGTGGTGGGTGAGCCGTGGACCGGTTGGAGGCGCAAGGCAGCCCGCGAGGCGCCCACCTCGGGAGGAGGCCCTAAGTATGCCGTATTTCGCATGACGGACCCTGTTGTCGATTGCGTGGGACTTGCACTGGGCCCGGCCCCGCCTGGAGGCACTAACTAGAGAAGGTTTGTTTGGTGGTTCTTGCTGCCGTCACCGTCCTCGTCGCCGGGGCTCTGCCACGAAGTAATTGGGAACTTCCATTGGAAGTGACGGGCGGCGGCCGGGCATACCTGGTACCTAGTACACAACGTTAGTACCAAATGCCAGTTACCTCGAGTTCCACATCTAGGCACATACTACGTTGCTTACTACGTACCTAGTGCTGGTGCTTTACCTTTAGGTCGGTACTAGGTGCCCAGCTTGTACCTTTGGGTAGCGGCGTGGGTACCTAGTATAGGTACCTAGGCAGGTGCCTTGGTATTGGGAGCGTCGCCGTGGGCAGTGCCAACCTAGGTACACCTCATGTAATATAAAAACGTCACCTCTAGGTAGGTACCGACGTCTGGTCCGAGGACAGTGTATAAAGCAGCTCTCCCTTAAGTACGTTCTATAAACGTTAGTACTACGTATAGATCTACGGCATTGGGCTTTGGAACCTGAGGCGGGCGGTCCAAGGCCCAGGCAAGACGGCATCCGGCAGTCTGCTAAGAAGGACCGGAATTCAAAATCCCCCCGGTCTCTCTCGCACACGTACGAAGGCCCCCCGCCGTCACCAATCGCCTCACCCACCCACTCACTCGCTCACCGAGGCACAACCCGTGGATGACTCCGTGTCGCGACACAGCCTCGCCGTCGTGGCAGCGAACCGCTGCTGCGACAGACCGTCCGAATGGCACGCACGAATGCGCCTTGCACAAGGCCTGTCCAAGGGGTTTCCGACCCGTGCCCGAGCTCCTCCTCGACGTGACTCAATGGGGGCATCCCCCTTCCCGTCGACGTCGAGATGACTCACGCCGTCGCTGGCTGCAAACACGCCGTGACTGCCTGAGCCTCGTCGTGCATTCGACTCGTGCTGGCAAAGGTACATGTATGTGAGGGGAGCAGCTCCGACGACGCAAAGGCGCTGGCATCGCAAACGACCCAGCGCCGTGCCTGCCGTCCGAGAGACCTCGCCGTAGCCCGAGTCGCCTTAAGCCCATCATCGAAAGCACCACGACCAACCTCAAGCCTTGCCGCGGCTGACGGGGCCGTTTTCTCATCAATGGCGACAGCGTGCGACCACGACGCGCCGACGACGCGCCCCCCTTTGGAGCTGCCGTCGTCCTTTGACACTGCCCTCTGCCTGGTGCCCCCGAGCCACCTATGGCCACGTCTCGACCGCATCCGCAGCCTCTATGACCCGGCGCATGCGAAATGGCCGCCTCATGTGAACCTCCTTTACCCGTTTGTGCCGCCAGAGCTACTTCCCGATGTTGCGCGCCTCCTGTCCGAGGCACATCTCGAGCGAGTCAGCATCAACCTGTCTGTTGCAGATGCCTTCGTCCACAGGAAGCACAACTCCGTCATCCTCCGCCCGGCTGAGCCTGACGCCGTCTCGTGCCTCCGCAGCCAGGCCTGTAGCGCGCTGGGCTGGCCGCCAAGCCATGTCTATCGGCCTCATATGACCGTCGGTCAAACCACGGACGTTCAGTCGGATGCCCACCGCTTTCTGCTTGAAAAGGCGCAGTTGCTGGCCCCCGTCACCTGGGACGTCGCATGGCTTGCCATCATGGTACGGGACCCCTCGTCGCGGCGCATGATGCCTTGGGCCCAGCTCCACCTTAACCCTCGTCGACTGCAGCGCCCTGCGCAGGTCGTCGACTTCCCGGTTCCCATCCCCGACACTGGTGTGCATGGCAGCTCGGCGGCCGCCCAGTCGCAGACCACATACCACTTTCAATCCCCTGAACGCGGCTGGGAGCCGCTCCCGGTCGCTGCTCATACCGCCACCGACGAAACCCAGAGCTTGGTCGTGGCCTCGTACAATGTGCTCGCCGAGTTCCAATGGCCCCCGAACCCATCCCGATACCCCGGTCTCATCACGAACATCCTCTCTGCGAGGGCAGCGGCAGACATTCTCATCCTCCAAGAGGTTACGGACCACTTCCTGCCGTCTCTCCTCAACAACAGCCAAATTTGTGCGCGCTATCCTTTCTCAACTCATGGCCCTGCCTTGTTCGGCCCACTTCCCAGTCTTCTCAATGTTGTCGTCCTAAGTAGGCTCCCGTTTCGGTGGGAATACCTCCCTTTCCAGCGAAAACACAAGGGCGCCGCCGTCCTATGCTTCCCTACCCTTGGCTCTCACGCGCAGAATGGAGCCCATCCGCCGCTCGTCTTCGCGGCCTGTCACTTGACACAAGGCTTGGTTGACGGGGCTGTGGTGGCCAAGAGAAACGAGTTGCAGAAGCTTTCGAGGTACCTGTCTGACCACTACCACGCTCATCCCTTGATCGTCGCCGGCGACTTCAACATTGCCACGTCCTCGTACTCAATCGACTCGGCGCGGCAAAAGCAAGACCTGTCCTCTCACGGGCTCCAATGTCTTGCCGATATCCAATCGCTGTTCAACCAAGTCGGACTTGAGGATGCCTGGCTCCTTACCAGGGTTGGCATTGGAGAATCCTCAAGCACCAGCCGACATCTCATGCCACCTCAAAATCTGCACGAGGGCGAAGAAGGCGCAACTTTCAACCCACTGACAAACCAGTTAGCTGCGCGGTCAGTCGGCAGTGGAACAAACAACAGGCCGCAGAGGTATGACCGAATCCTGGTGAGCTCCAGCCTAGCGCTGCGCCCATGTGGTTTCAACATGTTTGGGGACGTCTGCCCGGAAGCCAGTGACCACTGGGGCATTCGCTGTCTTCTCCAGCGCCCGGTGACCGAACGGCCACCGGCCGAAGCAACTTCTGCGCGCCATGTTCCTATGCGTTTGGTCAGAGCGCCAGTCACCCTTGGTGGTGCCAACGAGATCAAAGACGCGCTGTCCTCCCACGGCTGCCTGCCTGGACATGCAGAGGAGGCTCTTCGACAACAAGCGCTCGCATTGCTTGAAGGGATTTTGCTGGCCAAGGACGCTCAGGAGTCGGGAGAGGGCTCGCAGCCACGAACGACATTGGTGCTTGTCCCGGTCGGCTCGTTCGGACTGGGCGTATGGACAACCTCCTCGGATATGGACTGCCTGTGCATTGGGAGCATGAGCCCTAAAGTCTTCTTCGCTGTCGCTTCACAGAGGCTGAAGAAGGCGGCATCACAAGGCGTCCAAGTCTTGCGGCGGGTGAAGGCCAACACAGGCACCATGCTGGAGGTTGATGTACGTGGAATCAAGTTTGACCTCCAGTACTGCGCCGCGGGTGCTCTAGCCCAGAAGTACGTATCGCCATCTGCTTTGTACCTTCCGGTCCTATGCAAAGGGCTCTTGTTCTTACAACTCCACTCCTTCTCAGTTATCCCGACATTCTGAAGCGCCCGGCTTCCGATCCCGCATTCGTGCTGCCAGTCCAAACCCTCGCCAAGCTCAAGCCTGCGAGGGACCTTTACTATCTTCGGCGATCCATACCTGACATGGCACAGTATCGCCTTGCACACCTCCTTGTCAAGGAATGGGCCAAGTCGCGGGGCCTGTATGCGGCAAAGCTTGGTCTGCTGGGAGGCATTCACATAACAGCCATGCTTGTTCCCATCTGCAAGCTTTTGACTGCCGCACACAACCCACTTTCTACAGCTGACATCTTGATATCCTTTTTTTACCACTATGCCAACTTTGACTGGGAGTCCAACTTGGTGTTCGACACTCATTTCCACAAGGACCTGAGATACCGCCGCGCAGCTCGGGAACCACTTTGTCTGTTGGGTTGGCATGGACCCTCTCTCAATACGTCTTCGAACGCGTCAAGGCCAACAGTGCACACCATATCGTCCGAATTCAAGCACGCCAGTCGACTTCTTTCCCAAGGCGGGATGACATGGACCGGATTTTTGACTCGGGAGACTGCAAAGCTTGGTGTCGGGCCGCATACGGATGCTGCAGGCGAATTCCTTCTTGGATACAAAAGCTACGTGAAGGTCGATGCCCGATATTGGGGCTCGTCGCAAAGCAAAGGCAGACGATACTTCGGATGGCTCGAGTCCCGTTTTGTCATGCTTCTGGTTGGTGAGACACCCCGCATGGCCCACCATGTCGCTGTCGACTTTCTCTGACCTGAGGCGGCATGTATAGACCTGGACCGCAAGGTTCCCGCTCTCAGGGCTCGGATCTGGCCAGAGAGATTCGCCGACAAAGCAAGCAGTACTTCGGCCGCGACAGAGCGTGATGGATGCTACCTAATTGGTCTGGAATGGCGCGACAGCGGCGCTGCTGACAAGTCGAAGGAAGAGTCTAGGGACGCCAGGCGTCTGCTTGAGACCGCGCTTCGAGGATTTGAGGCTCGAATGCAAGGGGACGACAAGTACTACGACAAATCTTGCTGTTGGTTGCTGGTATCCGAGGCTCACGGCAAGGATGTGCGCAGCCTGCAACTAGAATCGGCCGGCTTCAGCCCTGATGAGTGCGGCGACACAGACTCGGAGGGAGACTCTGACACCGACGCAGATGACGAGGCTGATAACTGCATGGATGGGCAGTACGGGGGCGCGCCAGCAGGCAACGCCAGCGAAGTGAAGATGCCCGACCCGCAGCAGTCAGTGAGTAAGCCGAACAGCCGTGGCAAGCTTCGCTCAGCGTCCGACGTCATGCACCGCCTCCGGTGGGATGCTGCCATAGACGCTGGAGACTACATGGTGGGATACGAGGATCGATTCACTGGGGCAAGGGAGAAGCCGTTGGTGCAGTGGAAGTCTGAACAGACAGACGAAGAGTTTATCCCGCAGCACCGGATTCTTTATTTCAGGTGTAGAAGCACCGGGGACATCGTCTGGGAACGCCGGACGCGTACGGATCATGTGTTTGGAAGCGGAACTAGCCTACACGAGGGTACTTAGCTCATGCTGGTCTCTCGCAGCAGACAGGTGATCACGCACAAGGCTGTATGCCACTGTCACACAATATCAAACCCAGTGTGATATCAACTCAATGTAATGCCTGTGGATCTAAGGTGGATGGGTGCCTGCGTCGCGGTGGTGCGCTCAAGAAGTGACATCTCCAGCCTTCAACCGGCTCAGCGCTAGTGGCCACGGCAGTCAAGCCCGGTTATCCGGGCGCGACATTCGGAGAGACCGCTCCTAGGGATCTGGGGGGACATGGCCGGTATAAACAACCTCATCAAGCAAGGCCACGAAACAGCCGTGGAAACGCTCTGCGTTTTCGACATCAAGCGCAGGGGACGGATGGCTGAAGACTGCAGCTGCTGCGTCGGGCAACACGACAACCCATGTCCAGGAGAGAGGCAACGACAATCGGGCATATGTCCACTGTTTGCACTGCCCGTGAACTCCTCGGTGGAGTGAGACGTTTGGCAGTGCATACTCTGGCTGTTCCAGCAGGTGTGTGGGACCGAAGGCAAGTGCGCTTGCTTGCATTTGCAGCAAGCCCCTGCCGGATGAGGATGCGATGCTTTGCGCTCGGCGTCCGGTGCCATGTGTAAACCCAGACGTATTGCAGAGCCCGCCATAGTTGGCTGGTCTGCTCATATACTGGTGGCCTGATACCGTCGACCCCCAGACGATATGCGGCCTGCCGATTAGGTAGGATGTGACGCATCAAGACGCGAGGCTGAGGAACACGGCGGCGATGGCCGATTTGTCGTACTTTACATATTTGCCCTTTCCCTTGTCGATTTCGTGGTACCGGTCCCAGAAACGGTCGTAGAGCGGTTGCAGCTTTTGGCGAATGTCTTCCCCGAACATGGATCGCACCTCGCGCTCCATGTGATATGACCGGTGTTTGGAGACCATGTCATCAAAGGCACTGTTGAACTGAGAAAACTTCTCCTTGATCTTATCCTTGTCTTTGCTGCTCAGGCCCTTTACTACGGACGCAGAGTCAGCCTGTCCGGAGGTTGGGCGCTGAGTACGGTTGGTGTGGATGGTATCGAAAAGATAGACCGAAAGGTCCTTGCAGATGTCGGTGTAAGACGCGGTCGCCCTCTTGCGCCACTGGTCGAGCAAGTCTAGTCGAGACTCCAGCAGGGCGTGGAGGTCAGAGTCTCGGATAGCTCGCTGGATGATGGCGACGTTATTGGCAATGAAGACACCGATGAGGGACTTGGCCCGGAGGACAGCACGTGCTTTCTGGTCCAGAGCGGTGAGCAGGGCGTCGATAGTATCGAGGCAGTAGCGCGAGAACAGGTCCTTGCCGTCCGCGCCAATATCAAAGGAAGCTAGGCTAGGGATGGCATCGGCAGAGCGGCCGCTTGGGGCCGTGTTAGCTTTCCATCCTCCGTCGCCTAGCGAGATCATGATGCCTGAGATGGGTCTCAAAAACTCTACCATGGCCTGCAGGCGCTGCATAGTCTCCGACACCATCGGCGTCGGGGCGCCGTCCGAAGGCAGCCCCTGAAGGCTGCCGACCTTGCGCTTGGTCTCCTCGAGCAGCTCAGACAGAGAAGATTTGGCGGTCTCGCGAATGGGCTTTAGAACAGCAGCCAGTGCCGATTTGAGTTCGCCGGTTCTCGCGTCCAAATTCCCGGACATTGCTGAGAGGATCTCGGTAACCTCGTATGCGAGATAGCAGTCTGTGGTGAGGTGGGCTTTTATGTGGGCATTCAGTTCCCTGACAGTACGGGCGAGCTCGTTGAGCGCCGACTGGCACGTTGACTGAAAGACGTTGCCCCAATCATCGCGCGTGAAGATGCTGCATATGTTGTCGTACTCGGACATGAACATGGCCTCCATGGCCTGAGCGTAGGTGCCTATGCCGTTGGTCCCGGCACGGTACATGGCGCCTGGATTCTTCTTCTTGGCAGTATTGACGCTGGCGGCGGCCAGATTCGCCAACGAGGATGAGAGATACGGGGCGCGAATGTCGGCGTAGATTTTCGCAGCGGGGGCATCGTGACCCATGGCTTGGCCGCATGAAGACAGATAAGAGTATATCAGACCCAGGCGGGCAATCTTATCCTGAGGTAGGACGGGGAACTGTTTGTCCTTGGTGATGAAGTGGAGAGGCTCAATGGCTCTGGGCGTCTCAGCTCGGAGCAGTCTGTCAAAGTAGGCCTCGAGCTGGGAGTTGCCCGCCTTGATGAGGCGAGTCAGATCCGCCATAGTGTGCTGATTGGCGCGCAGGTTGGAAGCCTGCATGTCGGCATGGGACTTGTTGAGGCGCTTGATGGAGGCAAGGTAGTTGGACAGGCCGGCCTTGTCGGGCCCGGCCCTGATAATCTGCTCCTCGTCCTCCTTGCTGTCGGCCGGCTGTCTAAGCCGGCCGATGGCAGCGAGCACGGCATCGACGTCTGCGAGCACATTTGAGCAAACCAGCCGCAGGCGACGCATGGGGCGGGGTGGGTATCTCACTGTTTCCCAGCAGCTGGAGGCGCTTCGTCTCGCCGCTGAGGGGGCCGGCCACCTCGCGGACGCTTTGCCCGGACGCATCGAGACGGCCCAGACAGGCTTGGATCTTTTTGGTCAACTGTGTCGTCTTGTCGAGGCGCGAGTTAAGCACATCGACCTCGGCTCGAGCCTCCTCGTCGACGGCGGCGTGGTGGGCCGCCGACGCCATGAGTCCGACGGCCATGGCGCCCGGCGGGCGAACTTGCGCGTTTTGATGCCGGCGCAGCGTGTTCGACGAGTGGTGCTGGTGGGACGCCCGTCGCCTCTCCTGCTCGGGGCGCACGAGAGATGGGGGCGGCGATCGGGGTGGCAAGGAAGCCCGTAGGTCGCGTATGTAGGTGGTTGATATGCTAGCTGGGTCGATGCCCAGATGGGATGAGGATTGGTCCAGAGGCAGATATCAGAGCCGTCCGGCTCACGCTAGCCTTAGAGGCTTAGAGGTAAACCTAAGGTAGCTTAGTATTAAGTAGGTAATAAGTACTTAATGATACCTTATCTATATAGTACTTAATATCTATCTTAAGTACCTCTTTATATTATAAGTATATAAGCTAATATTATACTTAATATTTTATTAAAGTAATCTATATATAAAGTATTTAATATTAAAGGCTTTATAATTAAATAGCTTAAATATTTATTTTAATTACTATATTTTATAAAGTATATATATAAAATATTAAATTAGAAAAGTAAGTAAATTAATTAATATTTAAATATTTAAATAAATATAAATAATTATTAATTTAAGTATATTATAAAAATTTAAATATATATTTATACTAATTTTTTAAATTAATATATACTTAAAAGTTAATATTTTTATAGTAAAAATAATATTTATTAATATAAAAGGCTATATATATATATACTTTTAAAGTATAATATTTTTTAATATAATTATCTTTTTTTTACTTAATAATATAATATTATAATAATTATAAAGTATTTAATTTAGCTTTATTATATAATTAGCTTTATTATATAATCTTATACTATTATAAATAGCATTAAAATCGTCTCGGGAATTTAGACGATTTACCTTGCCGCTTCCCGCCCCCTTTTCTTCGTTCCCTCCTTAAGGGCGCCTACGATAGTATGCACGTGATAGCTCAGCACTCCATAGGTACCTGAAGGCTAACCTCCCTTGCCCCCCCTCCCCCCCATAAACCACTTTACGCGCCTGGGAGACGCGTTTTCGCGTCGCGCGTTTGCATTGGCGCCTGCCACCGAGTGAGTGCGTTAAACAGTTTCGTGTAACGCCAAACCACACCATCCTTCCCGTCACCTCGGGAGCAGCCACGACCTTTTGTCCACCACACAGAACGTTATCTCGCATCGACTGCGTATCGCAACGACGACGAGCTTGCGCTGAATCTCGTTTTTGTATCACAGGGGTCAGGGTTCGCGTTTCCGAGGCAGGCAGATATTGCAACGGTCCAGACGTCTCGCAGCGCACCGCTCGCCTTGGGCGGACCACACCAGAGCCATGGATTCGTTCATGCTGCAGGATGAAGGCGTCCGCGACCGCATCCGGCAAGCCGAGGAATTTCTAGATCCCAGTACGTCTAATCCCACGTCCAAGTTTGCTGCATGCCGTGGCTGACCTCCCCTCGAACCCAGGCGATCCGCATGCGCGCAGCTACAGATCGGACATCATCTTGATGCTCCAAAAGAACCAACGCCGCCTGACGGTTAACCTTGACCACGTCCGCGACCACAGCAGGGACCTCGCCCAAGGCATCTTGCAGCAGCCTTTCGACTATATCTTGGCCTTCAACCATGCCCTCAAAGAGATTGTCCAGGCCATACCACAAGCCCGGCCCGACCAGACAGCTCGCGACACCATGTACTACTGCGCTTGGGCGGGCAGCTTCGGGCTCAACTCATGTAATCCCCGCACGCTCTCCTCCCAGCATCTCAACCAAATGGTCTCCATTGAGGGCATTGTTACTCGATGCTCCCTCATCAGGCCCAAGGTCGTGCGCAGCGTACACTACAACGAAGCCAAAGACAAGTTCCACTTCCGCGAGTACCAGGATCAGACCATGACCAACGGAGTTACCACCTCCAGCGTCTACCCGAGGGAGGATGAAGACGGGAATCCTCTCGTCACCGAGTACGGATTCTGTACGTACAGGGACCATCAGACAGTCTCGATACAGGAAATGCCTGAGCGCGCACCCGCCGGTCAGCTGCCGCGCGGCGTCGATGTCATCCTTGATGATGACTTGGTGGACCGAGTCAAGCCCGGCGACAGAGTCCAGCTAGTGGGCATCTTCCGCACCCTCGGCAACCGCAACACCAACCACAACAGCGCCCTTTTCAAGACCATAATCCTTGCAAACAACGTCGTCCTCCTGTCCTCCAAATCTGGCGGTGGTGTCGCGACAGCCACCATCACGGACACTGACATCCGGAATATCAACAAGGTCTCCAAGCGGAAAAACCTCCTTGAGCTCCTTTCACAGTCTTTGGCGCCTAGCATATACGGTCACGGTTACATCAAGAAAGCCATACTTCTCATGCTGCTAGGGGGCATGGAGAAGAACCTGGAAAACGGCACGCATCTCAGGGGTGACATCAACATTCTCATGGTCGGTGATCCGTCCACGGCCAAGTCGCAGCTCCTCCGCTTCGTGCTCAATACCGCCCCCCTCGCCATCGCCACTACGGGCCGTGGGTCGTCCGGCGTCGGATTGACGGCTGCTGTCACTTCAGACAAGGAGACTGGGGAGAGGAGACTTGAGGCCGGTGCCATGGTAATGGCCGACCGCGGTGTTGTGTGCATCGACGAGTTTGACAAGATGTCGGACGTGGACAGAGTCGCGATTCACGAAGTAATGGAGCAACAGACCGTCACAATCGCCAAGGCTGGCATACACACATCTCTCAACGCCCGCTGCTCCGTCGTCGCGGCCGCGAACCCTATCTTTGGCCAGTACGACCCTCACAAGGACCCTCACAAGAACATTGCCCTTCCAGACTCTCTACTATCTCGATTCGACCTTCTCTTCGTCGTCACCGACGACATTGAAGACACGAGGGATCGTCAAGTGTCTGAGCACGTGCTACGCATGCACCGATACCGCCAGGCTGGTAGCGAGGAGGGGGCTCCCGTGCGCGAACAGACCGCACAATCGCTCGGGGTGTCCGCCGATAGCCAGGCCGCTTCTCAGGGCCCGACCGAGGTCTACGAGAAATATGACGCCATGCTCCATGCCGGGGTTCCGCTCACGTCTGGCCGCGGCGCGAACAAGAAGCCGGAGATATTGAGCATACCGTTCATGAAGAAGTACATACAATACGCCAAGACACGTATCAAGCCAGTCTTGACTCAGGAAGCCTCCGACCGTATCGCTGAGATATACGTCGGCCTTCGAAACGATGAAATGGAAGGCAATCAAAGACGGACGAGCCCGCTCACCGTGCGCACGCTTGAGACCATTATTCGTCTCGCCACGGCCCACGCCAAGGCGCGTCTGTCGAACCGAGTCGAGGAACGCGACGCCGCGGCCGCAGAGGCCATCTTGAGGTTTGCACTATTCAAGGAGGTGGTCGAGGATGAATCGCGCAAGAAACGGAGACGGACACAGGCGACTGATTTCGCCTCCTCCAGCGAGGAGAGCTCCGACAGCGATGGCGAGGACAACGACGAGCATGAAGGTCGGGCAACGACTTCCTACCGCGGCGGTCGAAGTAGGCGGCGGCCTGCCCAGCATGTGACCCGCTCCCAAACGGGCGCGTCAGCATCAGCAGACCTTGAGCAGGCCAACGGCGCGAGTCTGGGCACTCCAGACGTTGCAGAGACGTCACAAGCTCCCCGTCGGTCAGGCCGATCTAGGAACGGCGTCTTGCAGTCACAGACATCCTTTGCCTCGTCCCTGCCAGCATCGCAGCTGCCGTTGGAGACGCAGGATGAGAGCCAGGCTGAGGAGGAGATTGTCAGTGGCGCGGGTGGCCTAAGCATCCATGATGACGGCACTCCCATCGACCCTGGAAGGGTCGCCGTCTTCAGGACAGCTCTGGGGCAGTTGCTCAGTACTGACCTCTTTCAAGATGACTCTGCATCGCTGGCGGCAGTGACTGCTGCTGTCAACGGCAAGATCCACGCTCGTGACGGCGGTGCGTTTGGGAGGGAAGAGGCCGTCAAGGCTCTCAAAGAACTGGAGAAGCTGAATCATATCATGTGAGTACCAACACCGGCAATCGCCAGGTTTCACTTTTCTCGTATCGTTTCGGCAGCTAACCGACTGCACAGGTTTGCGGATGGCGATCTGGTGTACAAGATATAATGGTAACACCGCGTCATTGTTTGTGTATTTGCGCTGGTCGGCGCCGGTGGACCGCATCTAAATCAGGGCCAACATTCCGGCGAAGGGGGACCAGGAAGTGCAAGGGAGGTCTTCTCTTTGCTGCCCTGGCTAGGGTCATTTCAATTGGTACGAGGTGGTCCGTCTGACAGTTCAGAGGACACGATTTGAGGTATTGAATATATTAGCCAACCGTGCCAGCAACCGACGGTCATGAGCTGGCCGGTGGAATGTCACCATCGAGTGCTGTTTTTGGCAATGAGGACTTGAATTGCTGAAGCCGCCGGCTCACGCTGTCCCCATTCCACGTCTCATATCCACCCGGCTCAGCGGCCAGGACGGGCATGCCCACCTGCTCTATGGCGAAGCTGGCAGCCACGGAACCCCATGCTGCCGCCTCCATCAGCGTGTGACCTCGAGCCAGAGCAACAGCGAGTCCGCCGAGGAAAGTGTTGCCGCCACCGGTCGGGTCGACGACGCTTGCCGGGTCATGATGATACGGCGGAACCCAGTGCTCGGTGCCCGCGTCAACTTCGACCTCGTCGCGGGCTATAGAGCCATCCTCGTCCTGGAGAAGACCGGCGAAGAGGGCCTCCATGTCGGTGTCGGGCTGCAGTCCGCCGTGGGCATAGTTCTTCCGGGGGCGGGGCTGACGCTTGGTTCTGCGGCCTCCATTCTTTGCGATATAGCAGCCCTTGTCGCCGGCGCGGACGACGAGGGCGTACGACTGTAGGGGCATGCTGGCCAGCAGCTGCTCACAGGAGCGCTCGATGGCCGACATCGAGACCTGGCCTGTCTCTGGGTCAATGCCATCGTCGCCCATGAAGCCGGCGAGCTCTGCATGGTTAGGGCTGCATATGTCGATGTGGGGCAGGGTGTTTGTGCAGTTGAGGAGCTCCTCGGGGGTGCACAGGTCGGGCACCGGCTCCCAAACGAATATCGGCTTTGTATACGAGGCATCGCGGCTAGTCAGTTGTTTACGGCGGGCGGTGATCTCGGCGACGAGCTCCTGGCAACGAGTGGGCGAGCAAATGAGGTGAAAGGAGCGGGAAAGTAGGAGAGCCGGTGTGAGGTCTTGGGCTGTAAGTCGCTTCTTGGGCGTCATGTATCTGAAAGCCCGCTTGTCTGCCAGGCCGCCGTACCCATTCCAGCCGCGTGTGGTGAGGCGGCTTGGGTCCTTCCGGATGACGGCGGCCGTGGCCCAGCTGTCGATGAAGATAGACATGGCCGGAGGGAAATCAGAGCCTTGGTCTACGATCCAGCCGACCGACGATGTCAGCGGTGGCGGGGAGAAGAGCCTCGCTCCCAGGGCAGAGTAGGATCCGGCGCCGCCGAGGATGTCGCGCACGGGGGGTGTCGGGGGCTTGAATTCTATGTCATCTGCAGCCAGCATGTTAGTCCCGAGGAGTTGGGGACAGTGTGAGGCGGAGAGAGTGCTGGATGGATACGCGGCGTGGATGCTCGGTCAATGCGGCGGAGGGGCTTCCTCACCGATCAGAAACATGCCCATGGTGACAAAGTCCAGCTGACAGCTCTGGCCGTGTTCTTCGAGGACGGCGTCACCCACCGACCGGGGGTTTTGTGCTGTGTGCATTGGAGCAGCCGCGGGAACGGATGGCGACGGCGGTTCACGAGGGGGTTAGGGACGCGATGTGTCGGCGGAAGCACGGTGTTGCCTGGCTGAACCGGGCAGTCACTTGTCTGCGTTGGCTTGGCCAGCAGCAGTGATGCCGTAAAGGGCGGCAGTTGTAGATGCGATAGCGTGGCCGGTAAGGTGGAGTGGCGGTCGCCGCGTCGGCGTCGTCGTCGTCGTCGTCTACGCGGTCCTGGCTGACCACGATGCGGTGTGTTCAAGCCGCCGAGATGCGGACAGATGCCCGGCCGCTGAACTGTCGGTCAACGGATCCGGTTGTCGTCATCAGCCCGGATAGGTAGTTCAGGCGCCAATGCCCGAACCCGGGTTCTGCATGTTGTGCCTCAGTATATTAGCAGTCCGGGAGTTCAGTGGCACTGTGATGAGGACGGTGGCTGGCGACTGGGGGGCATGAGCGGACGCGCGTGTGTGTGTGTGTGTGTGTGTGTTTATTTAACGTCCTGCGGGTATTCCCTATCGGGACAAAAGACGTGCTGAGCTAGGCGCTATTTACAGTACTGCATCCTCTCCTAACATAGGCCACCGGCTGTAGACTTATTCGGTCCCTTGGGATTCTCCTTCAATCCGCTTTGCGACGGGCCTTGCTACCAGGACGCGGCTCCTCACATAGGCCCGAGGACCACCATAAATAGCGTCCCATCCAGCATAGCTTCGGCTCTTTGGCGCTAAAATGCGAGGCCCTTCCCCGTCAGCGGGATCCAGGCGCTGCCCGCCCTCGCAGCCTCTGTGAGCGGTGACCGTCTTTACGTCGCTCGGGACCACGAGTGCAAGGCGAGGTCAACCCTCGGTTTTGCTAGCCAGAATTCTCTTGCGCCTCGGCCGACACCGCTGCCGCGGTCTGCACCCCAGGAACCAGGTGGCAGAAACGACCCAGGCGTAGCGGGAGGGAAAAACCCGTGGAAGGGAACAGAGGCCGCGAACGGCTTGCCTTCAGGGAGAAAAACCGACCGCAGCTAGCTGCTGGAATTGCACACCGCTTGGTTCTGAAGCGAATGTGCAATTAAGCAGTACCACGCCTTCATGCGATTGAAGATGAACTCTCCTAAAGTCTTCAATCGTGCCTCCCTCCGAAGAGTTAGGGCCCCGGTAGGGCCCCGAAGGCGAAAGCGTGGTCGGGTGGCCTGAAAAATTACCCCGCACAATCAAGCTGCTAACAGCTCCGAAACGCGAAGAATTTTTACAGGGGAGAGTTTAGCGGACGCGCGAGGGACGCGGTTGGCGTGCTGTCGATGCTACCCTAGGGCCTGTTCGATGGTAGGGGTCGTTGGCGTGGTGCTGCGCGGCGTCCCGATGTTGGCCAGGCCGACGATCTTGTTAGGTATTGACAGGGCGTGGCGAGAACGGAGAGGTGCCCATTCATACTGAGACTCGCTACTTCGTAGTGACGATGGATGTACGGAGGAGCCTTTCAAAAGTCGTGTCCTGCCGGGGCACCTTGTTAAGTCTCGATAAGCGAAATGAATGATGTGTGATAGGAAGTCTGGAGTTGACGATCCCAGTAAGTCTTGATGCCGTCACTATTAAGGTTGGTTATAGCGGGTGAAGTCCCCTAACGCGCTCGCTGGAGAGGGCATCTATAGCATCTCAACGAGGCTAGGCGGCTAAAGCTCTCGCGCCCTTACCCGTCCCCTGTCTTCCGCCTGATATATATTAATATATACCTTTCTTACTTTAGTATCTACCCTTATTGGCCACACCCTAGCCGGGACACGACTTTTAAAAGGCTCCTCCGTATAAGCTATTAGAAATCATTATCCGATCTTAATTTAATAGGTTACTACTTAAGTACGGAGTGCCGTATATAAGCGCATCATTAAATCCTTAAATACCTACTAGGTATATATTTAAGATAGTATAGCACTTTAATACTAAGTATCTATTAGTACCTAAGGGTATCTACCGCAGTACTAATAGCTATACTCTCTACAGGTACTGACAAGGAGACATTACTGTACTAGTAACGAGACTCAGGTACTTAGTAGCAGTAATAATACTCAGTATATAGTAAGCGGTAGGTACTACTAGAGGTGACACGGACTTCGTATAAGCAGTGACCTATCTTGCACGCCGGCCTGCTCAGGCACGGGATACATGCTATTAGCTGCGCAACCGGCACAGGACCCTCGCGACAGCGCAGGTGTATCTGCAACAGCTGGCGGTGGGATGGTACCTCTAGTACCAGGTCTCATCCAGGTAGGTACCTGAGTAGTAGGTACCTAGTAGTTATACCTAAGTAGTAACATTAGTACGGAGGAGGTCAGGATACATTCGTGCCTACACTCCCCCAAGCCCCCTTATCTGCCCCTGGGCCAAGCCACGCGTCTGCGCAGGTAGGTACTGAAGTACCCCACGTACCTGGCTTGGCGCCCATAGCACAAGAACGGGCTGCACTGAGCGTGCTCCGTACCTACCTGCCAGCTGCACCCCGTAATACTGGGCTTGCGTCTCGTCTCCGGAAGCCCTCTCCACCGGCTCCACCGTTTAGGTACAGCTCTCAGCTCCGACCGTCAACAACACCTCTCGATTCATCTCCTGACCAACGCTCACTCACCTGTCCGTCCTGTGCACAGGCCATTTGACCCGACATCACCACCAGAGCAGTCTTGCGACGAGTCCTCTGCCCGCGCCGCCCGTCTACGCGCGCCCGCGCCGGCGCCTTCAAGTCAACCCTCCCTCTCCGGCCACGGCCGACGACGTGCCAGTTGCGCGACCTGTGCGGGACCTGCCAGGAGTCCAGGACGCACCGCCTCTCCAACATATATCCTGTACGCAACAACTTGGCGCCGCTTCCAGCCGCCACCATCATCGGGCCCTCCTGATCTGCTGGCACAGCCCCGGACCCGAGCAATTGCTCTTGGTTGCCTTGCGACTCCTGCCATCACCTCACCTCCACCTGTCCCACGTCCACCAAGTTACTGTCGCAAGAGCGTCAATCACTTCGCCATGGCGGCTCCAAATACCATGCACAATCTTACCACGCTCATCAAGCGGTACGAAGCGTCTTCGCCTCCGTGTGGGCGGGGCCCCCATGCCTAGCTAGCTCCCCTTGCTCAACGACACTGACCAAGCATCCTAGCCTCGAGGCCGCCACATCTCGTCTCGAAGACATCGCTACCACCACGGAGCTCCCCAAGGATGTTCCCGCGCTCGCCCTCGGCCAGTCCGTCGTGTCGCCCCCCGATGCCTCGGCCGTTTCCACCCCCCCGTTGCCGCCGAAGCAACCCCCCGCTGAACCTGTTCCCGAATCCGTCGAAGAATTCGACACGCTCCTGGCGTCGTCTGTAGACACATACGTGAAGCTGAGCAACGAGCTGGGCGGAATCGTCGCGCAACAGGTCCGTTGTTGGCCCAAAGCCCTCCTCCTCCCTCTTCCACGGCCCTCTCAAATGTCCTCGGTCTGCGCCACCTCCCCTGCTAACTGCCCAACGCATTCGGTCCACAGGCCAGCGAGGTGCATCGCGGGTTCCAGGAAGAGCGGAAGCTCCTGCTTCTCACCACGAAAGCCGCAAAGCCAGAGCTTCCCATCTTCCAGAAGCTGCTGAAGCCAATCAACGATGTCATCATCAGCGTCGGAGAGCTCAAGGACTCGAACCGGCCGGATCCCATGTACACGCAGCTGAGTGCCGTCGCCGATGGCATTATGATGCTCGCATGGGTGACCATTGAAAACCGCCCGTACAAACACGTGGAAGAATGCCTCGGCTCTGCCCAGTTCTTTGGAAATCGGGTGCTTAAAGAGCAAAAGGACAGGCATGGCTCCCCATCTTCGACGTGCACCTAGTAGGTGTGGGCGTACAGCTAACTTCTGCCGGCAGAGACCCGAAGCAGGTGGAATGGATCCAATCCTTTTATCAGCTCTTTCGGGATCTCGCCGAGTACGTGAAACAATTCTACCCCTCGGGCATCACTTGGAACCCCCACGGCCAGCCTGCAGAAGCAGTCGCCAAGGCTCTCTCGGGGGACGTCTCTCAGCCGGTCGCGGGACGCTCTGGAGGTCCCCCAC